GAGCCGCTCGTCGTGCGCGGTGGAACCGAGCCGCCCGAGCAGCGAGGCCGCGGGGCGCTGCGGAGCCTCCGCCGTCCCCTGCGGCGCCGCTGGCCTGGCTGCCCTGCGGCTGGCTGGAGCCCGGCGGCTTGGGAAGTTTCGCTTCAGCGGGGAGGCGGCGGCGTCCCTGCGGGCTGGCAGTGCGTGCGTGAGCAGAGCTTCCTTCCTGACACGCCGCGCTCCGCAGATCGCTGACGCCGCTGCGCTGCGGAGATCAGTTGGCCTTACGCTTAGGGGAGGCCAGGGTAGTAGTCTTTACTTTCAGATTAGGCCAAATTTTGTCCCTTTCTTAGTATAAACGGCAGAACCCAACAGCCTTGTATAGATAAGTTTAATAAGATTTGTTCTTAAGATACCAGCTTATTTATTTGAAACATGGAAGAGTGAAGTTGGCCAGAAAACAAAGGAATAATTGAAGGCAAAGGTAAATAGATCTTTGGAGATCCAGAAGAAAGCACATAGGTACCAATAGCAGTGCTATTGCTTATGTGCTACACTGACTTTTTTTTTAAACCTTTGTTTTAAGCATAGATTTTAATGAACCCAAACAAGAAGTATGCACTCTATTGTAAAGGAGCATGTAAGCATCATTTAAATGGCAAGTGCAATCTGAAGAAGTGTTTGTTGTTCAATAAAAGTGTTTTTCTTTCTTGATCATACAGTCAGTGTATGTAAATTTAATGTGCAGTGGTTAGATGCAGCAAAAATAGATTACGGCTAAGGACTGGCATTTGAGAATTCCCCAGGTTTTAGTTACTTGTTTCTTTGTGCACGGGTTATTTATAACAATTTCTAATATGATCAAAAGTCTCTACATCTACATAAAATGTCAAATACAGATAGGAATTTTTTATAATTTTCCATAGTGTTATCTGTGTAATTCTCCACCACCATACTGCACTTGGCCCTTTGTTGAAAGGTCACTAGTTACATAGAAGCCATACATTCCTTTTAATAGATCTCCTAAGGGTTTTGAAAAGGTGGTCTGGGCAGATTTGGGGAGGAGATTCTTTTTCTTTAAAATATAGTTGCCCTTTTGTGGCATGCAGAGAGTTTGGTTCTGTACTCTTAATTTCTTTCAAAGTTCGGAAAGCTTCTTGGTTTGTTTGTGTTATTTTTTTATTATTATTATTATTATTTTTTTCTCCTTTCATGGACAGCCTTGAAAATGTAGAGACCAGCCATATAACAGTGGTGGTGCCTGATAGGGTTCTGCTCTGCATCCAAAGGATGTGCTGTCTGTACATGCAGTGTAACAGTTGGTGGATAAGGCCGCATATTAGCATGTATCAGTGCTTCCTAAAACAGAATGAAATGGTATATAGCCATGAAAAAGGTTTAGTAGAATAAGCTCGGCTTGCTTAGTAATAGTTGTGATTTTTTAAAAAGAAATTTCAAAAATTGTTGGTATTTTGGTACACAGCTTCCTTAGACATGTTCCTGTGATGGGAAGAAGCTGTCTTTTATTTCTTTTTTCATATTTATTCTCTTTATCTCCAGGGATTTGCAGACAGAAAAGGTGATGAAATCGTTTTTGCACTGCAATATTCCTACCTATATGCATCCCTACCCTTATGCTTCCAAATGCTTAAAGCAGATGACTAGTAAAAGGTGATGAAATCTAATGAACTTGGTATATTGTGATCTGGGCACTAATTCTGACTCCCTTGCTGACCTGCTGTGTGATTGTGCAAGACAGTTTCACTCCCAGTGCTTCAGTTTTCTCGGATTTCCTAGGAGACCAGCCCTCCTAGATTTGCAAAGAAGGGAAGAGAAAACAAGAAGGGTTGTAGCATATTAGGATGGCAGTTGGTAGGAGGCCATTAGATGGTCACTGAGATGACATAGAGATCACATCTGAGTCTTAAATTTTAACCTAATTCTCTCCTAATCTTGCTCAAGGTTGGGTGAGGCTGCTGTGAGAGAGACTAGCACCAACACAGCTCTCATACTAGAACTTGAGTGGAAAAGTGAGCAGCACACAGAAAACCCTGTGTGGCTGGTTGCAAGACTAGAATCAGAGAAACATAATCATATCATATGGCACTTGGCAGAAACATTAATCTAAGAGCACCGTATTAATACGTTGCTCAGTACTAAGTAGGACAGACCTTGCAGGTAAGTGGGAAACAGGAATAAATAGTGGCAGGAAGAAAGACAGGGTGTGGTTCTCTGGCTTGGCTCTTACCAATTGTTAGATGTGTTTGCTTATACCCACACCTGCATATACCTTGTTTACAAAGACAATTGCAGAACAAGACACTCTGTTGCACATGCTTCTTCTGGCAGGCATTTGTATGACAGACATTTGCTGTCTTTTTAATGTTCTACTGGGGGGCCAGGGTGTGTAGTGTCGCTGAGGAATAGATATGGATGGAGAAACCCACCAACTGATAGCGTGGCCAGGGAGGATTTTTCTTCTCCCTCTCCCCTCACTACCTCTTCCCTCTCCCCCGCCCTCAAACAACTGTAAAGCAGTTTCCCAATTCTTGTGCTTCTATCAGTGAAGGTTTATTACATATCAAAGAACAAGTGCAGGCTCTTGCACCTGGGGAGGAATAACCCCAGGCACCAGTACAGATTAGGGGTTGACCTGCTGGAAAGCAGCTCCATGGAGAGGGATTTGGGAGTCCTGGTTGACAACAGGTTAACCATGAGGCAGCAGTGTGCCCTCGTGGCCAAGAAGGCCAATGGGATCCTGGCTGCATCAGGAGGAGCGCTGCCCGCAGGCCAAGGGAGGGGATCCTGCCCCTCTGCTCAGCTCTGGTGAGGCCGCACCTGGAGTATTGGGTGCAGTTCTGGGCTCCCCAGTACAAGAGGGACATGGAGCTTCTAGAGAGGTTCCAGCGGAGAGCAACCAAGATGATTAAGGGCCTGGAGCTTCTATTGTATGAGGAAAGACTAAGCGAGCTGCCCCCAAACTCTTCTCGGTGGTGGCCAGTGACAGGACAAGAGGTAAGGGGAGTAAATTAAAACACAGGAAGTTCTATCTCCAGTTAAGGAAGAACGTCTTTTCTGTGAGGGTGGCAGAGCCCTGGAACGGGCTGCCTGGAGAGGTGGAGTTTCCTCCTCTGGAGCTGTTCAAACACAGGTGGATGCCACCCTGTGCCACATGTTCCAGGTGTCCCTGCTTGAGCAAGGAGGTTGGACTAGATGACTTCTGGAGGTCCCTTCCAACCTCAACCACTCCGTGATTCTATGAAAACAGCAGTTTTATATATATATATTTTTTTGTTTGTTTGCTTGTTTTTGTTTTGTTACAGCTTTTTGAGGAAAGTGTCCTAGCTAAGCTGAGAGCGTCGTCTTAAAACAATCTGCAACACTATTTGAAGAATGTATTTATGTCCTCTGTTATTCTGGGAACATGCCAAATTTTCACATTATCTCAGTTGTATAGTTTACCTAATTACCATCAGTTAGTGGAGTGCCTTCCATAGGGTTGTTCTGGAAGCCTGGTGTGTGTTACACTTACGTTTCAATGACCGCACAGTCCGTATTGTTTCTGTAACTGATGCAGCTTTTCAGCACCAGCTAAGGTCTAGTGGTGCTGTTGGGTTGCAGTGTGACACATTCACAGTGTTACTACATAGCAAAGCAATTCTAGCAGGTTAGGAACAGTATCTTAGAGGAGGAACTAAGCAGTGAACTCCATTTCCTATTAAACTTTTAACTGAGAAAATACTGTAATATTACTGGCTCTTCTTGCATTGCAACTGATTTTCCTGTCTTGTTAATATGGCACTAAATACCCAAGTCCTGAAAGTTTTTTTTTTTTCTTTTTTTTTTAAAAAAAAGAAAGAAAATTGCTTTTTAGTTAAAAACTTTAGTAAGTAGTGACTTGCTCCATGAGAAATTGGACACTCATATCATTTTACAGTATGTAAAGCATATTTTTATGCACTAGCCTCTCTCTGCAATCATGTTCAGGAATCCTATTCAAAATGCAGTATTCTGAATGTGGGCTTCAGCCAAAGATTTCAATTGCAGGCAGATTCAGGCCACTAAGTCTTGCCTGATAAAAGATGTCCCATTCAGGAGGAGCGCACAGTAGTTGAGTTGTGTGAGCCATCTGTTGTGCCCTCTAAAGAGAAACATAATAGTTAAATGAGGAATTTTCCTTATGAGGGAAAATCAAGTAGGTGAAGCTTAGATTCCATTTTTCTTGCTACTCCATGATATGATTGGCAAGTCCTGTGTTCAGAGGAGTCAGGAGGGAAAGGAAAAGAAAGAAGACTAAGATGATTCTGGAAAATGTATAAATGAGTTGCAACATGATGTCAGAAATGCTGTTGCTGGCAGCTGAAGAACTCTGTAGCGACACCTCCTTACCTTCATTTTCTTTTGATATCTTTACAAAATTTTTGTTTTCCTAAATCTACTTTTGATTTTTTTTGTCAGGAGAGCTATCTTGAGCAAGAGACTGGTGAGTTCTTGAGAAAGTCACATACCACTGGTGATTCTTAAAGTGTGCCCAGTTCAAGCAAAGTGAGTCTTCTGCATTTTTGCCCCATCTCAGCTTGCTTGGAGGCCTCAAACGTTATATATTACAAGCTCTCTGTGTGAGGGAAGCAGAGCTACAACAGATCTCTCAAAATAGTAGCTATCTGAAGCCAAAGCAAATGGACCAACAATATCTTAATGTTTGTGGTCAGAAGTTTTAGCCGCAATTAATAATAAAAAAAAAAAAAAAAGAAGGACTTGCATAAGTTCCAGATATTGCCACTGTTAATTGCTTGGCTTTTCTTTTTACCTTAATATGAGAATCACAGAATGATGAAGGTTGGAAGAGACCTTTGGAGATTATCTAGTCTGACTCTCCTGCACAAGCAGAGTCATCTACATCACCCACCCTTTCTCTTTCTATCCTAATGAAGATGTGAGCAGTGGTGGTGACGTCTCTAAGGGAAGTTGCCCTGTGTATATGAACCTTTTGTACTGAGTGTCTATGGAATGTAGGTTGCTTCAAGGGAGAGGAGGTGCCTCATGAGAAAAGGAACCACACAAATATGTTGTAAAATATTTGTGAAAGTTTCTTTGAAAGTGCTTTTAAAGAGTCTGGAGGTATTTTCCAGTAATATTCCTTCAATAAAGGTATGGGGTTTTTTGTTTTGTTCTTTAAAAAAAAAAAAAAAGACTTCTGTTTTCTCAATGTTTTAAAGGAAAAAACATCAGGGAATTCTGCAAGCAGAAACCATAAGACAGCCAAAACAAGAGTGTTTAAGTGTTTTCTTCCAACATTCTAAACTGGAGAGATCCCCTCTGAATACAAGTACATGACAGTGAGAGGAAGTGACATAAAAAATCCCTTTGCACTTCCTTTCTGGTTTGTCTTCATTTATTTGAAGCTTGTCTTCCATTGGTAGAAGCATATGTGATTTCTTTTTCTTCCCTAAATTGTTGGTTAGTCAAGCCATCTGATCGTATAATTGAGTGTTTGTATCCCTGAGATTTTAAAAATTGATTACTTTTTTTATTTGCTAATGCTGGCTTTTGCTTTTCTCTGAAGTTACCACTATGTTGAACATTACCTCAAAATATTTTTTTTCCCACTTCTGATTGAGGATACAGATACAGAATGCTGTGTTTCTCCAAACCAGTTGTAGAAACCTGTCTGGTTAAATTATGATCTGATGATTACAGAAAGTGCCTCCTCACTTTTGGTGACTAAATATATTGCAAAACATTTCTGTAGCTTCCTTTTTATTCCTGTGTACTTTACTAGTGAGAAACTGAGTACCCTGGTAATATGTCCTTTAATGGCATGAGTGGTTCTTAGCTTTAAAACATGTGTGCAGAATTTCATTAATGTGTCTTCCAGATGAGCATCTGTTATCTTCAGCCTCTCCCAGGAGTTGGTGTATTCAAACCTGAAAGCTCTATCGTCCCTATATGCGCAACCCTTCCTCAATCCAAGTGATCCCCAGAATCTGTTCTTCCTGGAGCTAGTAGAACACGAACATGGTTTTACACTGGTATTAGACAGAATGTAGAGTATGATGGTACGTATCTTAAGCCAAACACAGACCAAAATACTGGAAGGATTGTAAATGGTACAAAAACTAACTCAAATGAAGACAGAACATGATACATGGCGTCTAACTGCAGGTGTTCTTACGTGTCCTTATGAACAAATTGATTCCTTAGATGAACTGACAGTCCATGTGTACTGCTTTTATTGCACTATATGTTTTGGGTTCTTGCTTGTTTCTTGATTTTTATTAAATTTTCTATTTGAAGGAAGCTTTTACAAAGAGGACTGTCACAAGCCTCAGTATTTACTTGAAGAGGTCAAATTCTAGACTTTTTTTGATTGTCTTTAGAAGCTGGTTAGTCCTTCAAGTTAGAAGGGACCTCTGAAGGTTGTCTGTTTTTACCCCTGCTCAGGGAAAGACTAACTTAAATGAGGGATATTTACCTGTCAAGTCTTGTGTCTCTCCAAGGATGGAGTTTCTACACTGTCTATGGGTGCCTGTTTCAATGTCTGACAAAACTCCATGTGAAAATCAAATACCTATTTGGATTTTTTTCTTCCTAAACTGTGTGTCAGTTACCTCTTGTCCTACCACTGTGCATCCCTGAGAAGAGTAAGGCTATATGTAACCTTTGACAAGATAACTGAGCACAGCAATGACATCTCCCTTTAGCTTTCTTTTCTCAAGTCTGAGGCTTAGTTGTCTGAGCTTTGTCTTGTATATCTTGTTCTCCAGCCCCTATTAATCCTGGTAGCTGTCTGCTGGACTTCAAGGTTTGGTGGACCCAAAACTGGACAGACTCCTTCCCCAGCTTTTCTGCAAAGCTTTCTATCCAGTTTCTGCTTGAAGTTTTCTGTCCCATAGACCCCTCAGCCTCTATTGGATTATTCCATGCCAGGACTTGCCTTTTTTGAGTTTCGTAGGGTTACTATCAGGCCGTTTTTTTGGCCTGCTGCCATCTTTCTGAGTGCGTATCTTCTAGCATATCAGCTCCTCTCCCCCAGATTGGTATAGTCAGGAAATCTGCTAAAGATTCTTTCAGTTCTATCCTCTCAGTCATTACTAAAAGCAAAAACACTGTTCCTCGTGTACTGAACCTAAAGGAATGCAACTGAAGACTAGATACGAATTGAACTTGGTACTTTTGAACTTACTCTTTGAAGGCAGCATTCCAGCCAGTTGGTGGCTAACCTGATATTCCACTTGCAGCCAAACTGTAATGAACTGGATAAGGATACTGTGAGAGACTGTGCCAGAAGCCTTGTTAAAATCAGTGCAAATACCAGCCAGGATTCCTCTATCCGCAGAGCTGCCCTTCACAGTACAGCAGTCAGGTGGCTAGTCTGGCATGATTCACTCTTTCTTCTTTTCCCCTGGATGCCCCTCTTCACCTGGCTTTGCCACCAGGCTCATGCATGTGGAAGGCCTGAGAGCAGACCCCATCAGTGACAAAATGAGGCAAAGACACAGATTAGCTCAGCTGCTTCCATGTCCTCTGTTGCTGGGTCCCCTGCCCACTGAGCAGTGAGCCTAAAACCTCCTTTCTGCCAACAAAACCTCTTTGCTGCCAACATACTTGTAGCAGCTCTTCTTGTTACCTTCAGCATTCCTCTCTAGTATCAATTCCAGCTGAGTTTGGGCATTTTTAATTTCATCTCTCTCTGCTCAAGCCATGTTTCTATCAAAGTGTGTTTTTTCTTCTGTGTGTGTGTGTTGAGCACAGGATGTTCTGTGTTAGTCCCTGCTTGTCTTCTGCCATACCTACTTGAGTTTCTGCACAGTAGAGCAAATTCATTTTATGCTTTGAAGGGGTCATCCTTGAAAATCAACTGACTCCTCTGGGCCCTTTTGTCTTTCATGGGTTTGTTCTATGAGAGGACTGAGCATCTTTGGTTCTTGCTGTTGTTTTTCAGTGGCTCTGCAATGTACATATTGCTGTAAAAACAAGAGTATCCTAGTAGAATGTAGGTGGAAATAATTGGGAATCTTGAATGTTGGTGAACTGTACAGTGTCTGAAAATTTTATTACCAGTGGTGATGAAATGAAATACTGGTGCTCACAATGGCATATTTACTGAAAAGAGGTAACCACGCTCTGTGTGCTAGGGTCTCTCAGTTGCTTTAATTTGGAGAAAAGTGTAGTATAAGGATATACTAATTAATGTGGAGGTTGCAAGTATATGGTTTGCCGCGTTTAGCTTAGAAAGGAAAATACGATGTTATTTACACAGGTTATTACCAGGTTATTTGTTTGTTTTTGTTTTGATGGTGAAAGTGGGAGAAAGGATTGGTTTGGGTTCTGTTTTGATCACTGAAGCTTTCTTTCCTAAATAGAATTTATAAAACATCAGTCTGGGGCAGCAGATGTGTAGTTCTAGAAATTGTCTAGTTAAATGATCTCATTTCTTGGCATACCTTTTGGTGTCAGTCTGTCTTTAGTCTTGCCTGCCTTCAGTATCCATTTCATCCAGGTATATCTTAATAAAAAAAGACTGTTAACTGTATGTTTAAAAGTAACCAAAACAACAACAAAAAACACCTTCTGGAAAAAAGTGGAGAGAAAAGTCATCGCTGTCAGATAGCTCTCAGTGAAGCTTATAGCTTACCTCCAAGTGGATTCACGTGGCAACTGGGCTTAAACTGGAAAGCACTTGTTCTGTAGGAGCTCTGCAACAAATGGAAAGGTAAGAAATAAGGTCCTGTTCCAATGGTCTTGAAAATGAGAGCACCATCTGGGATGGGTCTGCTCTGTCTCATAGCTGTCATGTGATTGTGAAGTGATAATATAATTAATTTTTAAAAGCGTCATGAAGGCAAAGCATTTCAATGATGAAATGCACGTTTGTGATCCCAACTAGAGTTTTTATTCCTTTAGTCAGTAGCACCTCTCTCTCCCTCTCTTTTTTGATCTCCTTTTCTTAAATCTTGCTGGAAAGATTTAGCCCCTAAATTATTTGCCAGTCACAAAAAAAGATGGATTTTCATAGATCCATCTATATATATTTTTTTCCTCCTCTTAAGTCAATTCATTTGGGATTTTTGGACAAAATGACTGAAAGACAAATTGGTTGCTTTCCAAAGGTAATTAAGACAGTATGTGGTGCAGAGGGTGAACAATTAGGGGTTCTTTCTAACTAATGATCCATTAATTAGTGAAGGGAGCTCAGCAAGTGTGTAGGTCTCCCAGGAATTATCTTTGATTGACATTTAAAACTGCTTTGGTTAAGAACATCTAATTGCAGGGGGCTGAGGGCTTTTTTTTAATTATTGTTTTATTTTTCTATCAATACAAGCCAGCAGAATTTAATAGTGTAAATATGTATATATAAAAATAATCAGCGTTACATAGTTGTTAAATATTCCTTTGAACTAAACCAACACTTATCTGTGATTTTTGTAACAATTTTGGTTGCTGTGGTTTACAGAAACTGGTCCTATATTTTACAAACAGCAACCCTCTACCTTGAATAACTTCCACGAATATATGAAGTTTGTTCTGGTTTCATCTTTTCTTTTGCTAGCATATAGGATAGCAGTCAGAAGACTGATTGGACTTTGGAATTGGTGTTGGCTGACAGCTGACCGGCTCCAAAAGGCAGATGCAAGTGATCCCAGTGTGTCTGCATTGGTCAAACTGTGCACAGCTTATTCCAATGACAGCTTAATTATGGAGTAAGCATTTAAATACATGAGTTGGTTAATTGCAGATACTTGCTACCAGGGAGAGGAGAAGGGAGGAGCAGCAGCAGTGCAAGAATGAATCTTGTTGTTTAAATATAGGCAAAATTTTCCTATGTTAGGGTTATGTTGTATATTACTGACTTGTCTTTTGATAGTTGCACAGAACCTTAACCTCCTGCAGAAATATTATATATGAGGTCTTCTGAGGAAATGTCACCTCTTGGTCGTGTTGAAAAATATGCAGTACCCAGAGGATATTAGTGGTACTGGAAATACCATTGCTACGAGTTCTAGGTATTAGGCCAGTGTGGCAATGGCCACGAACTGAAACAAGGGAAACTCCCATCAGGATATGAGAAAAGCTTCTTGACTGTGAGAGTGGCAGAGCGCTGGAACAGGCTGCCTGGGGACGTTGTGGAGCCTCCTTCTCTAGAGGTATTTAAAACCTACCTGGACGTAGCCCCGTGCAGTGTACTCTAGATGGCCCTGCTTGTGTGGGATTGTTGGATTAGATGATCTTCAGAGGTCTCTTCCAACCTCAGCCATCCTGTGATTCTGTGCAGGGAAGCATGACATGAAGTGCTGAATGCATGTTTTCTGTACTCAGGGTATTGCTACTTTCTTATGTGCTCTGAGCAACCAGCCAGAATCATAAGTGGATTGGTGTGTGTGTCAGAGCACACATTTCTCAAGGGCTGTAATACCCTTTTGTTATGCCACCTGGCTGCATCACTTATTGAAACTGCTTATAAAGTAAAACTTGAGGGACTTGTCATTGCTTAAATTTGTTGTGTCTTTATACCAAAGATATAAAGGCTTTGAGGCTGAAAATTGGAAATATATGGTTAATAAAAAGATAGGTAATGAGAGTAGTAGAACAAAGAAAAGTTGAGCATTTCATTTGAATTGATTTGTCTTGTTTAGCAACAATTTCAGGATGAGTTAAAATCTACTCAAATATGCTCCTTTTGAGTATTAATGTTATTTTTAAAGCAGGACAGTGTGTGTATTCAGCAGATTCAGAAAGTTTTTTTTTTCCACTCAGATGTTCAGACCTTCTTATTACTCTAGCATAGCAATGGTTCATGTCTAATGGTGCAGGAAATGCCATTTCTGGTGAGAAATAGCTACTTTTAGTTTCTCCCTCCAGGATTATGTGAGAGTTTCTAAATTGTGTTGATACTTCTCTCACTGAATACTCTAAAAATCTTTGGTTTCATCATAATTCTCATTTTCATACCTGGTTGCACAATTGCATCCTAGCATGATATGCAGATTAGTATTGCTCGTTATGCGTTTTGTGGTGGCCCTGTGTGTACAGACTAGAAAAAGGGCCTGGAAAAGATTGATGAAAATCATACTAAGTAATAGAATAGTATGTTTCCTTTTGTAGTAATACATTGTGCATCTCAAAAAGTAGCCTCTAATAGAAATTCTGTTTAGGCTTGACTATTTGTCTAAAATATAAATGAGGACTAAGGGCTACTTCTCCATCTTTATATTCAGAATTACTTCCTGAAGTATTTTAAGTGAGAAAGTGTTTCTGACTTACCTTAAAATGCAGGAAGTATTGAGAAATGGTTTACATTTCAAGATTACTTATGTCATTTATTGCATGTAAGGAATGAAATTCTAACAGCAGTCTCCAAGACCAAGGTTTAAAGTACCATGAAAATGTTTTGGTTAATAACTTCCGTGTGTAAAAGCATTTGCCTAAGTAAGAAGTATATGAGTTTCAGCTATACTTTTTCTTAACACTTGGCTAGAAAAACACGAAGAAAACATGATGTTATATAAGTGCTTTTATACATCCACACAGAAATTGTTATCTTTTGGGTGATGTCAGTAGCAAGCATTGATGCGCGGGTAAAGCAACATGTTACATAGCTAACTATGCCTTATGGAAAATAGCTAAGATGTTTTAGTCTTACATTACTGCTAAAAACTTACTTTATATGAAGATATGGTAGATCACCATGCCCTTTCTTCCTAAGGGACAAATGTGTGTCTTCTCAGTAGAGTGTTTGCTTTTGGTTCAAACTTTTCTCTGAGTCTTCCTTTTTTTTTTTTTTTAATTCTAAACAGGTGAGTCTAGGTTTTCTCTTAATTATGATGTTTTCAACCTCACTTCCATCTATATTTTTATTTTAAGAAATGCCTTATGTCATTTTTGAGACCCGATTTTTTTTTTTTTAAGGCAGTGGTTCTTAGATTTGTGCCTAAGACTTAAGCTTTAAAATTGTGTTTAGAATCGTTATTGTTGGAAAAGACCTTCAAGATTGAGTCTAGCCATCAAATTGAGGTCATGCATCATGATGCTGAGGTTTAATTTTGATCTCTGTAGCAGACTTTCTGAATGAACATCGAATCATGCACACTGCATGAAGATGTTTCAGGCTCTTGGAAGGACAGACTTGTTCATTTTTCTGGGGAACTTGAATGTTCCAAGACATCCCTGGGGCGTCTCTATGAATCATTCCCTATCCTGAATGTCACAAATGGCAACAATGCTGCAACTTCATTTCATGGGTGCAGAGGTGTGGGAATTATGCAGTGCAAAGTCGGGCTTTTCCTGATTTGACATACAGAATTGATATCATTTGGAATTTCAAAGTTATCGTTATAAATTGTGAATGGATTTTTGTTTTCAGCTTTTTCATCAGCAAAAAATTCTTCAATGTTCATATCTGCACCGTTTGCTTCTGTCAAACTTCTTTAAAAAGGGAGAGAGAACCAGAAATTAGGAAAATCTAAAATCCCACTATCTTTTTAATGTACTAGTTTGTCTGCCCAGCCCTGTGTAGTTGCTGCAGCACTGTCTAGCCTTGATAGATGTTTTAATTGGAATGAATTAGCCAAAGAAGTTTACTTTTCTAATGTATGTTGTCTGTATTCTAGTTCAGTTAGATTTTTATCTCTGTTCCTATGAAAGTTAGTAACTGTAGTGTCTTCTAAATCTACTTTCAGTAGCTTTCTTTATATATACATATATATATATTGTCTGATTAAATTTAAGCTATAGCACTTGAAATACAATAATAAAGAGGATTTGGAATTTTTTTTGGTACCAATTTAAATACTTCTCTACTTAAATATAGCTCAAAATGATTGTTTGTCTTTTGAAACAGTATGGTTTTGTCAGATGCTCTTTATCTCTAGCAGCCTACATTGCTGATAGAAACCTTGTTTAATCAACAGATTAGAACCATAGAATCATAGAATGCTTAGGGTTGGAAGGGACCTCTAGAGGTCATCTAGTCCAACCCCCCTGCACATGCAGGGTCACCCAGAGCACGTGGCACAGGACTGCGTCCAAGCGGGTTTTGTAGATCTCCAGAGAAGGAGACTCCACAACCTCTCTGGGCAGCCTGTTCCAGATTGGAGGTGGAGTATATTTATCACAACTAAGCATTGAACTGTTCTTACTGAGAGGATGAAATATGTCCTTTTTTTTGTTTTGTTTTCTCTGTACTGTTGTGCATTTACCGTGATCTGTGAACTCTGTGGCTCGCTGCAAGAGCCCTGGAGATGCTACGAGTGAGATGTTCTCCATGGATGATCCTGAAGCCAAACTCAAGGGCTCTTACAGTGACATGAGCTTCGTGGTTGTAGAAGTTCTGTTGCTGTATGGCAAGCTGGAAACTCTAGTTGGCTTTAAATGGGAGGACCTCTGTCTCGTTATGTTAATTTAAAAAAAAATTGAAAAACTGATGTACATAAGACCTACTTTTTTTTCTTCTTGTGGTTTTTAAAGTTCTGCTATGTATAGTTAGTTAAACTGATAGCCTTCTGTAAGAAAATTGCATATGAAATATAATAAATTTGGGAATGATGCATCACTAAACCTATAGAACTGTCTCTTCTGCCCCATTACCAATAAGAGAACTCATGGTGCTAATTGGTAAGAGCAACATGCAGATGAAAAGTTTAGCTAAGTCCTCTGAATAATCTGTTGACTTTGTTAGTGGGTGTGTGGAGTAGCTATTGGAGCACAGCACAGTTTGTTAGGTATGTTTTTATTTTGCTTTTGAGGAAGGGGTATGAAGTCTGACATTTGAACTTGGAGGTGCTCCTTTGGTGGCTGAATGGAACAAGTTTTTTTGGAGGGGGAGGGGGCATGTTCTGTACAAGGCTGCTTGTGTAGCCATGTGTCATATGGTGGGAGTAGTAGTGTAGTATTAGTCTCTCTTTGAGCATGCATAGGGGTTTTGCACCAGGCAGAAGAATCAAAAATGAAGGTAAGCTATTTTCTATGTATTTCTCAGAATCAACCGGTACCTTCAAAAACAGCAGCTACTCTCTGACTTGCATTGAGCTATTCTCTTATCAGAGCTGCCAGTTCTGTCCTTTCCTGTGTTGTTTTAAAACATGCAGCTGTCCATGCACTGCTTACCAGAATTTAACTTGGGGATTTGGGGGAAATTCTGAAGAAATGCCAGTGATACCATTGCATGGTTTTAGAAGATTTTTATAACTTGAAGAACTGAATCAGAAATACTAGGATTGCTGTATTAAGCTTTCTAATAAAAACACAAAGTATTATATAGACTTAAATGTTTAAGAGTATATAGTAAGTGCATCTTCATGTGACTTGTGCACTTTTGTGCTTCAGTTGTAATATGTTAATACTCTGCTATATATTTGTTATTATTCTTCCAGGCAAACTTCATTATATAACTAGCTAATTTAGACATTTAAAAAGTATAAAATCCCAGAGCAATGGCATGCCAAAATTCTATCAAAATAGAATTAATGTTATCCAATATAAAGTCAACATTTGTCCTCAAGAATAGATATAAAACCGATTTGAAAGGCATAATTGATAGAAAGTATTTCAGTAGCCATTTACTTGGTAAAGGTATTAGAAAATAGTAAATTGAGCAGTAGTTAGTGTTGGAGAAAGAAATTAGGGCTGAGTTACCTGTGAAGAAAGGAGTTAAAATTAATATTGTGGCCTTATGTTCCACTGTGTTGAGCATTGGGATACTTTCGTGTTTGTTTAAACATTGTGTATTTAAGTGTGTAAACAGTGCATATTAAGTAATAAAGAAAGCTTGCATTTAAAGGAGAAAGTTCTAAAGATCTTTAGTATGTTCTTAAGAACATGTGTTCAGTGCCTGTTACTGACAACATGTGTGAGTGACATTCAGAAACTATTCCTTTAAAAATACCCATGGGCTGAAAAGAAGGTATCATTCAGAGACCTCATCAAAGGTCAGGTAATATTCTCAAAACACTGTAGCTTCTTAGCAATTTAAATAAGATATTGCATTCCTCATGTTAAATATTAATAATGGTAGTATCGTCAACTCTATTCCCTCTCGTGGGACAGCAAGATTCCCGTGCTAGAAGGGTGGGCTCGCTTCCTTGCAGGCAATAATACCTTCAGCTGAAGTGAACCTTGCATATTTAATAGCACTTTGTACTTTAAATTTCCTCTTCTGTGAGTCAGCCTATCTGTCGAGAAGATTTTGCCATTCACAATTATTTTGTCAACATAAAATTTTATATGCATTTATGAGCGTATTCTGACAATATAGGGTATTTCATATTT